CGCCTCTCCGGCAGTGGGGAGTCGTGGCCAAAAGAAACTTGTTATTAGAATTCGCACGGAAGGTGCGTGACATGCGTCCCGGAGCCTGCTGTGCCCTGCCGCCCCCGCTCGAGGTGCAGCCCTTCGTGGCCGCACGTGCGCAGTCCATGCGAAGGCCAACTTCTGCCCAGCGGCCTGGCTGCCGTACTTCGAGACCGCGTCCTGCGTGGAGTCGAGGCGAATGGCGCGCACCGAGCCCCTGCACCACGGGCTCCCGCCCATCAAACAGCTGGGGATCCTCGACGAGCTGGTGAAGTTGGCCGACGGCCTCGACGCAAGCGGCAAGCTGCGCCTGGCGCGACCAGACGAGGTGGACATGACCCGCGGTTGCCGCTTGATCCCAGGTCTGCCGAACCGAGGACCGAGACCGCGTGGTGCAGGACCGCCGCACCCAAAACGCCTTGAGCATCTGATCCGTTCTGCCCCGGAGAGGCTGGCAGGCGGGCGGCGCTGACAGACTGCGAGCTGTCGTCCAGCTGCGAGCCTGCGATGCACGCAGGGGACCCCAGCCTCCAGCAGGTTGTGTTTGAAGCTCCCGAGGACGCTCTGCAAATCCTTGTGCGACACGTTGACGCGCTGCGGGGTTGAGGCTCTCTCGGCGCTGCTCGTCGCAAGCCCCTGTCTCGCCGTGCGCCCCGAGCGGCCCCCTGCCACGAGTGGGGCGGCTGGCGCGGGCCTGTCCGCGGGCGCGGCCAGCGGCAGCGTCACCCGCTGAGAGGGGGCGTCTGGCAGGCGGGACCATTGGCCCCCCAGACCCACCAACAGCCCCTGTCCCTCCGCGCCTGGACTGCCCGCCACGCACGTAGGCGCAACGCGGCCGACCTGCCCAACATCTCTCCGCTGCCTGGTTTGTCCTCCTCCTCCCCCTCCTCCTCCTCCGCCGCCTCCTCCTCCTCCTTTTCCTCCTCCTCCTCCTCCTCCTCCTCCTCCTCCTCCTCCTCCTCCTCCTCCTCTTCCTCATCCTCCTTTTCCTTCTCCGCCTCCCCTCCCCCCCTCCTCCTCCACTCCCCCTCCCCTTCCCCCTCCCCCTCCCATCCCCCTTTCCCTCCCACTTTCCCTTCTTCCCATCCCTCCTCCTCCTCCTCCTCCTCCTCCTCTCCTCCTCCTCCTCCTCCTCCTCCTCCTCCTCCTCCTCCTCCTCCTCCTCCTCCTCCTCCTCCTCATTCCGCCTCCTCCTCTGCCTCCTCCTTCTCCTCCTCCTTCTCCTCCTCCTCCTCCTCCTCCTCATCCTCCTCCTCCGCTGCTCATTAGTAATACTTCTGTTACTACCGTTCGTTTCCGTATCCGTGTTCTTACCATTAGTATCCTTAGTGCTAGATTCGTAATAGTAGTGTCAGTAGTATTGCTATCTTTTTCTGAATAGTAGTATGACTAGTATTAGCATTAAACCAATTATGCTAACGGAGTTCCCCACATAAAGAGATTAACGGTTTCGTGGGACCCATGGAGAGGTGGGAGGGGCACGAAACCATGTAAATAGTATGGTATTCCGATACCCTCCTCGCTCAGGCGGGGCCTCCCTGGAGGGGTGGGAGGGGCACGAAACCATGTAAATAGTATGGTATTCCGATACCCTCCTCGCTCAGGCGGGGCCTCCCTGGAGGGGTGGGAGGGGCACGAAACCATGTAAATAGTATGGTTTCCGATACCCTCCTCGCTCAGGCGGGGCCTCCCTGGAGGGGTGGGAGGGGCACGAAACCATGTAAATAGTATGGTTTCCGATACCCTCCTCGCTCAGGCGGGGCCTCCCTGGAGGGGTGGGAGGGGCACGAAACCATGTAAATAGTATGGTGTTCCGATACCCTCCTCGCTCAGGCGGGGCCTCCCTGGAGGGGTGGGAGGGGCACGAAACCATGTAAATAGTATGGTATTCCGATACCCTCCTCGCTCAGGCGGGGCCTCCCTGGAGGGGTGGGAGGGGCACGAAACCATGTAAATAGTATGGTATTCCGATACCCTCCTCGCTCAGGCGGGGCCTCCCTGGAGGGGTGGGAGGGGCACGAAACCATGTAAATAGTATGGTATTCCGATACCCTCCTCGCTCAGGCGGGGCCTCCCTGGAGGGGTGGGAGGGGCACGAAACCATGTAAATAGTATGGTATTCCGATACCCTCCTCGCTCAGGCGGGGCCTCCCTGGAGGGGTGGGAGGGGCACGAAACCATGTAAATAGTATGGTATTCCGATACCCTCCTCGCTCAGGCGGGGCCTCCCTGGAGGGGTGGGAGGGGCACGAAACCATGTAAATAGTATGGTATTCCGATACCCTCCTCGCTCAGGCGGGGCCTCCCTGGAGGGGTGGGAGGGGCACGAAACCATGTAAATAGTATGGTATTCCGATACCCTCCTCGCTCAGGCGGGGCCTCCCTGGAGGGGTGGGAGGGGCACGAAACCATGTAAATAGTATGGTATTCCGATACCCTCCTCGCTCAGGCGGGGCCTCCCTGGAGGGGTGGGAGGGGC